GAACGTTATCGGAAACGTCATCAGGCAGTCTTTCATGAGATGATATTCAAACCATCCTTCTTGGAGGGGCTGCTTTAGCAAGGCCTCTTTGCTAGCAACGGAAATGGAAGGTAAATCCACCAAAAACGCGTCGGATTTTGCTACGGTTTGTACATTTTTGGAGATCATATCACGAACTTCGTTGTAATCAACTCCGGCCCCTGTTGAAAAATTCGTCATGGGATTAGAGTCGAAAATTAAAGAATCGTTGATTCCCAGTAACTCGAATATCAGAGCATCAACATGAGGGAAGAAAGTGGTCGCTATCTTTCCTCTCAATTTTTCGGGTATGATTTGGTGGTCAAAGAAATACTTTGTGGATGATGGGTCGCCAGAAGTTTGGATGAATGAATTCGAATCCGCCAGAGTCTCCACGGAGTCAATTTCCGGAAACTGGACTCTCTCGTCGAGCAACGTTGTCATGCTGCCGAGAAAAGCCGTGGAAATGATGACTGCGGAGAAACTAAATATTAAGAAAAGCATTTTCCCCGTGACCAAGTGGCCGAGTCGAAGAGACGGAGGACTCCCGCAGATAAAAAATGCATACGCGATCAATATTGCTGACGAGTTTCTAAAATGATCTATTTCTGCCTCCGTGTAGAGACGATGGAATAATTCGCACTGTGAATTCTGAAATACGTACAGCATCACGCTGAAACTGATGATGGTCATACAAACTAGAACCCACACAGTTGTCGTAAAGCTCTTGAAAATCACCAGGGCTTGCGACATGAAACCAGTGTGTGGAGTGGCGATGCACAGATAGTTTGAATCGAGTGCGAGCGAAAAATCTGCGATTGAATAATCATTTTTCTCTGAGAGGATCCCCATTTGAAAAACGTGTAAATCTATACCATACTTCAATCCTGCCTCTAGCTGTGACCAATACTTGTCGAGTTGATCCACTTTAATTTCATCGTTCTGTAAAATAGTGCTGCCGTTTAGGGATTTAGCAAAGGAGTCGATTAGAGTTGTAGCCATCCAATCCCATCTGCGCCATCCTGTATGGATTAGAATTTCAACTGTCGAGCTGTAATCATCAATGTACACCCTCATTCGTTTCCCATGCAAACTACTCCAGGAAAAGTCGAAAAAGGTATCAAAATCCTTGCCTCTGTGCGAGGTAAGGGTTTTCGCGAATGGATCATACTTTTCGCAACAATTTAGGTGGCAGATAGCTGCTTTTCGGCCTTTGAAGAGGCGCCAAAAAAATTTAAAGCAGAAGACAAAACTGCTTGACGTGTCTGTTTCGCTGCTGTCAAAGGCTTTGTTCGTGAATTTGTCACGCTTCACCATATTTTCCAAATGCTTTGGTCTTGAAACATGGTAATTTTGACGGACATTTCTTAACAAAAAAATTAAATGATTTTTGGAGTTCCAAATTTTGTTGGTGTAAAGGCCTCGGGTCGCATTGTAAAATGAATCATTTAAAACTGAATCGTCTTCCAATTCCGCTGATGTTATTCCTATTACTTTGTCGCAAATTTTTCCCTTATCCGCCCAGAGATTGTGCTCGTCTAATTCAATGCAGTAGCGAGGTAAGATTGATCTCTCACAATGTTCCCCGCCTGTTGTATTATATCCTAGACTCGGAAATATTTCACAGTCCGATTCGATCGATTCTTGTCGGGATATCGTGTAAAAAATCAAACTCAACAATTCGTCGAAGTCATTTAGAATGAAGATCATATTTTTTCTATGACCAGTGGCTGCTAAACTTGTCAGTTTACTGTGATGGGATATTAAAATAGTCTGAATAGAGGCTTCGTGCAAACGTTGAGCAAGGTGCACAGATGAAGAATCTGAGTGCAGATCCACTATATAAAGTGAAGATTCCTTCGATTCGTTAACGACAGCAAAGCACACGTTCGATGCGAATGTCACAAAAGGCTCCCATCCCATCACGTCCTGTTGAAAACCCGTAGGATAGCTCAAGCCGGAAACCATCTCTAAACCGAACGAAATTAAGACTCGAAAACATTTTAACATTATCGAAAATTTGAAGTGCAACTTACCTTCCTAAAACATGAAGTTTCACAGATAACTGTTCTGCGCTTTAATTGAAGAGTTTTGAGTGGTCAAATGTTCTAAGACACCTCTATAAAATAAAAAAAATATACTACTCCTACCTTCAAAATTTCAAATACCGATGGAAAAGTTGACTTAAAATTGAAAACCATGTGCGAAATATTGTAGCACACGAACTCAAGAGACTAGCTTAGTAAAACCGTCCTGAATCATACTCAGAGATACATTAAGGTGACCTATAAGTTTTTATTTTAAACGTTCGCATTTTAACTACAATGAACGTATCACAAAATTAAAATGAGACCACCATTTGGAAAAGTATGAGCTGCTAGGAACACTCAAAACGCTGTTGGACTAGATTACTTTGTCATTTCTATTTGTAACATTTAGGTCAAATACAGCCCCTTTTTCCTTTTCAAAGCAAACACTTACAGTTTTTACTTACAGGAATCACAGTTTGTTGGAACGTGATTGGTTTTCGTCGCTACGTAACGATGGACAGAGTGGTTGAGGAGTCAGCAGAGCAAAGAGATTTATTTTCGCTTCGTAATGATGCAAAGAATGATTGAGGAGCCAGCAGTGTAAAGAAATTTATTTTGCTAACTCTGTGGCCCTTCAATACGACTTTCACAAATTCTCAACACTGACTTTCCTACATCTTACAACTGAATAATCGATTCTTTTACATACATTTAAATGGGCGAAGCTCAGTGATACTATCCGGTTCTCTGGAGAAATTCGCTCTAAGCCCATAAAGTGAAACAGCACTTACGCGCACCAGCGCAATATGCTATAGATCAAAGCGCCAAACTGCACGTTTGCATATTGCATGGATTGAAGGCGCACGACGTAATTAGGATACAACATGTGCGTTGACTCCTTGACTCCTACCCTAACCTGACTTAACTTGAGTCTGCTCATCAGAGTACAGCGGGCTGATTATTGAAATTGATAGACAAAAAAATAGACAAAGAGGAGATAAGAAGTAAGAATCGATCCTATTGGTTGAAATGGGTGGTTCCCATGGACTATAAATGAGAAAATGATAGGATATAACTATAGGGTCTCTCGTGGGTTGCCGTTAGTTAGTCTATTTGATTAGCGTATAGTTACCTCCATTGATTTTCCATCGCAATCATTCGCTTCTACCAATAGGCCCCTCCGTATCCCTTTTGTCTTCTTTGTCTACAGCTTTGTCTATCAATTTCAATAATCGGGCCGCAGGCTTCAACATCATGAGTTAAGTTAGATAGGCCCGAGGGAACACACATTTTTCGAGAAAAACACATTGAAGACTTTTCATTAAATAAACCTATATTATTTGCGGGTTTTTAGCGTTCAAAACAAACATTATGATGTTTGATGAAACCAACCCTCAAAATATATTTTATAAGATATGTTTTATAAGATGAGGTGCTTTTTCTTTTCACAATCGACACTAAAAACCAACGCCATAGAGCTACAAGGTTGCAAAGTTGCGAGAAAAATTAGTGTCTCTGAAACAATGAGTCTAGCATTGTGAGTTCAATTACCATTCGAGTGCAATCAGGTTCTCTAAGAGAGAAAAACAGGGCACACTATGGACAGGGATACACTGTTACGTAACAAAATGATGATCCCCCTTAAAACAGGTGTATTGTGACAGATGAATCAGCCTGTCATAACTCATCTGCGAATTGGACCTATTGATTCTGAATGGAACTATGTAGAAGTGGAAAGATGGGGTGTGCTCGTGGAAGCTGGATAAGAAACAATGTAAAGGTGGATATAGTTCTTATTGGAGAAAATAAAAAAGTGGGATTTGACATTAAATCAAAACATAGAGTACATACAGTCGTAATGTAAATGGGAGAGCTGGCGCCATGTTCTGTTCGACGAGTTCCGAGCCCGGTGTGCGCCGAGCTCGGGTCACTTTTTCGATACATGTTCGATCCAAAATGGCGGTGTGAGATACATGGTAATTCCTATCTCCTTTGTTTACATCGGATGGCAGGGTACCCGTGTATCGCAAACAATCGATCATGTATCGAAAAAGTGACCGGCGTCACACAGGAGCCTCGGAATTCGGAACATGGAAAATGCTCAAAAGTGGCGCCAGCCCTCCCAATTACATTACGACTCCATGAACTCGATGAATTATAAGGAACTGAGCGCTAACTCGTGAACCGTGGGCATAAGAGAAGAACCTTGTGGACAAGGCTCATGATTTACAGACTGACGACCTAGAAGTCGTCGCTCCCGTCGTTCGGCATCCAGCCCGGTCGTCACCGATGACGTCACTGGCGCTTTTAAATTCCCATTCATTCTTATGGCCCTCAACTAAGGAGCACACCCCATCTTTACACTTGCACACACTGGAAAAAAAACACATTGGATCTAGAGACCGGACTCTTAAAAACATCAAAAAGGAAAAATACTCTTGATTCAATCAGATTTAAGCTTAAGTCAAGAACCAAGCCTCTTAATTTGAGCGGATTTCCTTTTGATTTAAGTTTAAATCTGATTGAATCAAGAGTCCTTTTTCTTGTCAACGTTTTCAAGAGTCTGGACTCTAGATCCAGTGTATTTTTTTTCCAGTGCATAGTTCCATTTAGCATTAATACGTCCAACTATTCAACGTAGAAACCGAGGAAATCATTGCGCTTGACTTACTCAGCAGATTCTGTTTATACATCTCTCATCAAATCGCAGATGACTGCAAATTCTCCATTCACAAATCAAATTCAGTTTTCCAAATCTGGTCAGTAATGATATGTCACAGTTTCCATTTGTTTATTTACATCTCTTAATTGTGAATATGTTTCGCGGCTCTTACAGGGACTGTGCTCGATACTTAAATCAAAATTATTCTCTCTTTTATATTTGACTGCATTTTGCAATAAGAAACTACTATTCCCGGCCCATGTGTAAAAACGCTCATCTGCAGAAAGAATCAAATGGCACATACGTTGTCTCTAAAATGAGTCAGGCGCGGTAGTTTCTTATTGCACAATGCTGTTTATTTCTTAATCGCCAGCGTGAATGAGAATTAATTACGATGATCTCTTAGGATTTCACGGGCTGGACAAGCGATAGTGCTGGGGGCATGACCTCTTGAGTACTATTAGAACTGAATATTGCGATACAATTTTGCCGCTACGTTCACATTTGTGAAAATTTCAATCCACATAAAAGACTTGACATCTTACTCGTATCTCAGGCTGTAATCTCTCCCGTATCTGACCCCTCAAAATATCGGTGATCGACTGTGGAAAATGTTCCTCGTCGAGGAGACAATGAATCGTTCAAATCGTTTAATGAGTGGGAGGCACTCAACTTTGCTCGCCATTCGAGTTTTAGACTGCCTGCCGTCGATAGAGCTTTAAATGCTGCGAAAAGCTGTAAATTCGTTTTTACCTAACTTCTTCTCGATCTTTGATTCTACTTTTGATCTTGATACAAGCAATCAGAAAGTTTTCTTGAAACTCATTTCCGACGCTTGTCATTTACAAAAATTGATATAGTTTACTAGAGTTTGATCCACATTTCTTCTCATCAACTTATTTCTGCCTTCGGCGTTCGATGACAAGTGTATTATTGTGATTGGGTTTTTTTTCATTGGTCTTCGGCTCCAAGATTTTACTGATGTGAAAGTTTTTTGTTCTTACTTGCTGGGTCGGTTTACACAAAATTTGAAAATCGTGGAAATTCCTTTTTGATTATTCCTTGTCTTAGCGTTTAGGATAAAAAAGTGAAAAAAATGAAGTTGTGATGTTGTGGCTACCCTGAGACTAGTTTTACAGCTGAGAATGTGCGATAATTCCTGTATGATCCCTTCCACGTCCGGTTTCTCTTCTCTTCCATGTGTCCTCACGTGGTGTGACTGATCGGTTTTTTTTCAATCTACGATTAAAGAGAAACAAAAATGGCAAAAAATGAAGATGAACCTCCTACTGGAGGCTTCCTACGTCCGGTGAGTACCTCTTTTTTTCGGTTTTAACAAAAAAATACTTTTTGGGGTACTATTTTGTGTGACAGAATCAAATGGCATCAGGTATTGTCAAATTTGATAAGATAGTCAAAAGTCTTAACAAGAGAACGGTTGTATGGCTTTATTTGTGCATTTCAGGAATGTTTTTTTCTTATTAAATGAAAATTCCCGGACATTTTAAAAATTCTGTACGATTGTTCTCTCGTAGAAATACGATACATTTCCCGATGGAATGTGGCAACAGCCAATGTTTTCTTGACCTCTTTCGCTGACCGTTCCCCATTTCAAAGCCAAATTCAACAGGAAAAAAACCACTGCAAAGTTGTCTAATGTTTGAATGATTTCAATTTTCAATTTTGCATGAATTTAGAGCCTTTGGTTGTAAAAATAAGGTACATTTTCCTCAAGAAATTTGGCAGCAGCCAATGTTACCTTGACCTTTTTCGCTCGCCGTTGCCTATTTCAAATATGAATCAAACTTTCAAACTTTCAAACTTTCAAACTTAGTGTCTGAATGATTTAAATTTTTATTTTTGCTTGAATTCGGTTTGTTCCGTTAGTCTGCATGAGTGTTCAGTGTATTATAAAAACAGTCCCTACCTTTTCAAGGTCTAGTCTCTTGTCTTGTATCACGTTACAGGTTGTAAAATCCAATTTCTGGTAAAATGCCTTAATCATCCAACAGTACTGGAATTACATTTTCTGTGGGCACTATATGAGATATATATCAGATGAGGAAATACATTCTCAGGAATGAATAAAAAAAAACAGAAGTATATTGCGATTGAATAGAATACAAACCAAAACCAAAATCATGCATTGTGTCATAGTTCAGATAAGAGATGTGACGGAAAAATTGACCCGGCCAAAAAGCCAGTGCAACGGATCTGCTGCACATAAGAACGGATTTATGCTAAAAATAAAATATGCGCGTTACGTTCGTGTTAGTTCTTTTTAGCATAAATACGTCTATAAGGAGAGCTTACCGAGACAATTTTTTTTGGGCGAGAACGCACATACGTCTGGAAAGCGATGTTTAACGCAAAATTTGCATAGTTGTCATCGCATATTTTCAAATTTACTGCATCCGCGGGCATTTTATTCTTTATCGTAAGCAATTTGCTGAATTGTAATAAAACGTACCGTAAGTAAGAAGTCTGTCAATTTTGTGAACTGTTATCGATCATTCTCAACCACGTGTAGTTCGCACGTGTAAAATCGAGAATGTATACTTAAATATACAACTACTAAAACAATATGACGCCGGTACTCGAACTACTTTTCAATAACCTTTTTTTTCTCTGCTCATTTCCATAGTAGTGTGGGATGAGTGTTTGAACACTTATATAACTTTGTTGCGAGGTACTTGAGCTGATTTCAATCAAATTTTAGTAGTGAAAAAATTGGTCTTTTTCTCCGCAAATTGTATGTAAATAGCTAAAAAGTTCGCCATTCTTAGCTGGCTGACGGTCAATGCTTACATCATTATTTTTCACATTTTAAACAAATAGATGGTAACAAATAATTAATGCGCATAATTATTCACTAGAAAGGAAATAGCGAAAACAAAGAAGTTTGGTTAAATGGCTTGTACCAGGCTGGTTTTTTTTTACACTGAAAGAAAAAGTATCACAAACCCAACTATACTCCGCCTGATTTTGGCGCCAGATATAAGAGTGATTGCACTAGCCAGAGGTATGGTTGATCCAACCACACGCAGACCCCACCATACCTCTGACTGGTGCAATTGCTCTTATATCTGGCGCCAAAGTCAGCCAGCGGGCCGATTATTGAAATTGATAGACGAAGCTATAGACAAAGAAGACAAAAGAGTATTAGAGAGATCTTATTGGTGAAAGCAGTTGGTCGCAATGGACAAAGGAGGTAGATAATAGACTAACTAGCGGCAACCCACGAGATACCCAATAGTTAGTCCATAATTTTCTCCCTTAGTCTATTGGGACTGTTGGTCAGGGTCTATTAGTTAACCACCCATTTCAATCAATAAGATCGCTCCATACTCCCTATGTCTTTTTTGTCTGTCGCTTTGTCTATCAATTTCAATAATCAGCCCGCTGGAGTATAGTCGGGGTTGTGATACTTTCATCCGTGTATACCATTACCAAATTTTTTGGAAGTTAAAATAGGCTTCAGCTCAATCTAAATTTAAAAAAACATTGCGATGAATAAGAAATGTGCCATTAGTTATTTTTTAAAAAAAAATTTTTATTATAAAAACAGGTATTCAAGCCTACCTTCTGCTCCCGTAGGTTTCAACATGGGTAATTTAAATGCAATATTTTCAAAAAGTGTTTAACGAGTCTAAGTGGGGAAGAGTCATTGCTCCCACGTAACTCAGCTTTGGGATAACTAGCCAGAAGTATGACAATGACGTCAGACAGCTAGAAAAGTTTTAATGTCATTCACACATTTCTCCGACGTAAATATTTAGAATATTTGCCAGTGCATTAATCACAGAGGCACTCGAGACTCTGGATAAAATACATAGCTAATGAGCTTTTAAATAACCCAGCCCTCTCGAAAATGATCTCATTTTCAAACGCGCCTGAAAATCACGCGAGTAAAGTGGAGTGCCTACAAAGTAGAGATAGGTGATGATAATTTTCTCTCTTATCGAATCGGCTATCTTCCTCGGTCCGAACTTTACAAACTCAGCACTTTCAACGTGATGCTCACGCGAAAAGCAGGAGGAATAATGTAGCCGAAGCAAAGTAAATATACTTTTACAACCACAAAACACACAGGGAGTCTTAGGGTTTGATGGCCAGACTGCAAGAACAAGTCTCTACGGGTCTAAATGAAACATGTTTCTTCAACAAAGTATTTTTTTCGGAAGGCACGATTAGTTAAAGCTACAGTTCCCCAAATTTTTGAGAATACCATTGCATATTCTGAATTTTGGTAATATTTTTTAAACGAATCTCATAAATAATTATATTGGAGGGGTTTGCAGGACAAGGCGCATAAGTGCAGTTTCTGCTATTTCAAAAAATACATGTTGAAATCAAACTTACATGGAGTCTTATGGCGGAAAGGAAGTTTAAACGCTCTTTTTGATGCTTTAAAGTTGGATTTTACTTTGTGAATTTTCCACAGGATAAACTTTCAAAGTAGTTTTAGTTGAGTTCAGGAATATCTCAATTTTTTCAAAAACTGCATCTATGCGCCTTGCCCTCCAAGCCCCTCAATTGGACTGCATTTTGCAATTTGGAACTATCAATTCTGGCTCTCTGAAAAAACACTTATGCGCATAGGGAAACCAATGGCAAATAAGTTTTTTTGAAACCTTGCCGAAATTTATAGTTCCTAATTGCAAAATGCAGTCCAATCAGTCTTAATTTTTAGCGCTGAATTCATCTTAAGCCTAAAAAATATCGAAATTCTTGGTTACAGGGAAATATTAGTAGACTCTGAGCTAAGGTTCCCGGATTTTTTAGGATATGTTCCTATTGTGCTAAAAGGTAGCGCGTGAAAATAATGAAATAAATCATAATACATGCTTTTTATGTACTTCTTTTGCACGTAATCATTTTTAGCATAAATACGCCCAAATGATGTTTTTCGGATGATTGAAATACTTGATGTTAAAAATTTGATAAAACATTTTTATTTTGCCCAGTTTCTCATCATGACCGCCCTTGCACCGATTCAGCTCGTAGTGGGTAGTGTGTTGGGCCAGTCAGCTGGTATGATACCTCAGTTGATGCAAGAGGATAGCGTTATTAAGATCGACATAGATGTGGCAACGTGGATAGGTAAGTCAGATTTAATTAACTAGTAAAGTAAAGTCGAATATTATTAATTATATTTCCGCATTAGTCAGTCAATATAGATCCTCATTGGGGTATGAAGTAGTTACTCAGAGACGGTAAAGCCATTTCAGCCTCCCATTTGTTGCTGTTTACTCAAATTATTAACCTGAAAGTAAATATAGAGGATGTAGAAGGAAGTATATAGTAGAAGTGAGTAATGTATATGAGGATAGCATGGTTAGCTCCCGGGTCGTTTTATGCGTGAGAAAAACTCTTCAGAGCGCCTTTAATTTTGCGGATGCAACAAAGGCAGCCACTAAGCGCGAATAGTTGCATCCGGGCGTTATGAATAATGTAAAGAGGAGTTTATCAGAGTAGTTGCAAGATTGTTTTCCAAAACTCTCAATGTCGGTAAATTGACATTTGATGAAGAAAAATCTGAGTCATATAACAGACACCCAGCGATGTTGATTTATAAGACTTCCTCTCGGATTTAGTCAGTCAACTTAAACCGTTGCGCCACGCAGTAGATCAAGTCAGTTAGAGAGGCCGGACATGCAATTTATAACTAAAACCGCAAATTTTGGTGTTTAATTCGTCAAATTTTAAATTTTAAGGGGTGCTTCTAACAGAATACTTCATGAGGGAACCAATCGAGCTATTTTAAAACCTCAAAGTTTCGTATGAATGGAGTTGTAAGCTTTTAAAGTTTCCAAACGTTGTTCGACCTCCACCATTGACACGATCTACTATGCACCAGCCGCGTGTCGTCCCCGCAAGTTGGGTTTCGCCAACAGCAACCATTCAAACTCCCCAGTTATCAGGTTGCATACCCAACGAGATGAAGGAACCTTCAGTGGATCATCCCCTGATTAATGATAAAACTGTGCATTAAGTGATTTTTTTCTTTCTTTTTTAGCAAGTATGTCAACCGTGGGAACATTTGTGGCGGCAAGCTCGAGTGGATTTTTTGCGGACAAATTCGGCCGCATTCGGATGGTCCAAGTAGCATACTTCTTCCTTGCTATCGGCTACGGAATCATTGGCGCGGCTAACACTTTCTTCTTGCTCATTTTCGGCCGATTCCTGATCGGTTTTGGCGTCGGTGAGCAGTCTTTTTGGTTCACATCATTGGCGGATCCAGCAAATTGGCAACATTGTCTTTTTTCCAATTACACCTATGGAAATGTATTGATCTTCGGGTGGGGGGGGGGGGGGGGGGCAGGTGCTCCAACAAGAATGGATTATTGAGCATAGGTTTGAATGGAGGAAATCAAATGTTGTCAAATTCCTGGAGATGCCCCTAGTTCATGTGATAATTGCGAATTCTGCTTTTGAGTTGAAATTGCAGATTTTGATTAAGTGGAGGTACTATCTCTGCTGAAAATGTCGTGTAAAAATAGTTGAAGAATGGGTCATGCGCAGGTCACATGATCGTGTTTTGATGATTTATCCTGCCGATCAGCTAAAATAATAAGATCTGTCGAAATAGCAACTTTCTACGTTGAATATTAACTAAGATTTCACGTTTTAAAAAATTCGGTTTATGACGTCATCCACCGCGGTAGTGACACCCTTGGTTTCCTCCACCTTGCTTCCATCCGAGTTTTGCGTTGAGTAACCATAGTGCAAATTTGTGTTTTCCTGGCTAAAGAAGGCAAGATGGAAGAAACCAAGGATTTCACTACCGCGGTGGATGACGTCAAAAACCCGACTTTTCTAAAGGCGACATCTTGGTGAATACTGAACGTGGAAATTTGCTGTTTGGGGAGATCTTCTCTGATATAAAAGGATAAAGCATCAAAATACGATTCTGTAACCAGCGCAATTGGCCCATTCCACTAATATCAGCTGGGTTTCTATGAATATTTGTTGGATTTTCTTACTATTGTTAGTTGCAGGACCGGATTTACCTACTTGCCACCCATGGACCGCCTGTATTTTGCCGCCCCTTCTCAATTGTTTTGAAACATCGATACAAACCATCAAGTGAACGTCCTGGAGGAGGGGTGCATAAGACGCGTTTACTCGCGTTGGGCACATTTTTTGTGAAAGTCCTGTAACACAAGCAAAATTTCACGGAACTTTGCGCGAAAATTAAGTTCCGTAAACCTATCTCTGTGTGGACGAGGCCTTTCATTTGTAAAAAAAAGAACGTAGAAGTTATGAAAGAATAAACATGAATGTGGTTTAATGATTTTAATTTCCGCCACCGCGCCAACCGCACTGTGCTTGGCTCAATACGCAAAGTATCCCTAATGTCTTGTAAGCGCTATGCATTTCACGCCGACCGCATTGTTTTTGACGCAATGCGTGAAGTATTCATGCAGTATTGTAGGCGCTATACACTTCACACCAACCGCTGCTGACCGCACTACGTTTGACGCAATGCGGGAAGTATTCATGGAGTCTTGTAGGCGCTAATATGTGTTTAATGCTGACCGGCACGCCGAGGGCTTATCCTTTCCATCTCAAGTCCTCGTCATCATTGCTCTCTGCGCCGCGCCGCGCCGCTTCGGGCCAAATTGCGTGTTTGGTTTCTCTCTCAACTAGACTAATGAACGCTGTCTCTTGTATCACCGAGAGACGAACAAATTAAAAATTACTATATTTTAACTCTCAAGCAATGAGAGATTTTTTCGCCTTTTCTCGTTTGTAATTTTTCTCCTGAAGCAGATTATTTTCTTGATACCTACATTTGAAAAAATTACAACATTTGCCTTGGGACGCGGCCTATGTGGCCACTCCCTAAATCCGGCCCTGGTCAGTTGAATATCCAATGACTCCAGTAAAAATCTAGTTAAATCAGTAGACTTTTAAAACTCGGGTTTTTTTTCTCTAAAAGTAGATGTCCAACTAATATCAGGGCAAACGTATTACTGTATAACAGTAAAATAATTTTACTGTATTCTTGTCTAATTTTGGCGCAGACCAGAAGTTACAATGCTGGCTGACTGATTACCTCTAGCTGACGCCAAAATCAGTCAGGTTACTCTTAAAATTATCATATTTTTATTACGTGTATATCTGATGCTTGATATCACAGAAGACAAGAATCACAGCATCAAAAAAAATTCCGATTCATATTTTTTTTAAATTAAAATTTTAAACCCCTTGTTTTTCTGACTTAATACTCTGCTCTCCTTGCAGGTTGTAGTTTCCCAGCCTCGGTGTACATCTCAGAGATAGCGCCACCAGCGTATCGAGGCCTCCTCCTTACCACCAACCCCGCTATCGCCTCCCTCGGCCTTGTTTACATGTATGTACTTGGCGGCTACTACCCCTGGAACATCGCCTCCTTGGCAACTGGTCTCATGTCCATCCTAGGGCTCATCATCGCCTTCTTCTTCTACGACTCTCCCGTCTGGCTCTTGCGGAAAAACCGCATTGAAGACGCCCGGAAAAGCCTGAGTCGAATCGAAGGCCCGACCAACGTAGACGTCAAACTGAAACAGCTCCAAGAAATCGTCGACAGTCATCCTGTAAGCAAGTTCAGCCCCCACGTCTTTATCGAGCCCACAGTTTGGAAGCCCTACGTCATAACGATTATCCTCTCCATCCTCCAAAACACAGCCGGGTTTTATATCGTCGTTTCGTATACTGTTAACTTCATGCGCGAGTTCCACTCAACTTACGACCCCCTGCAGATCATGGTCGCCATCGGGTTAGTGCGACTCGTGGCGATATGTCTCTCGAGCGCCATCTTGCGGCACGTCGGGCGGAAAACGATAGGCGCGTTCTCTGGCTTCGCGGCGGCGGCCTGCTTGTTGCCTATCTACGGGTGCTTGGTGGCGCCCCACGCGGCGGTGCTGCGAACTTACCCTTGGATCCCGATAGCGCTGTTCCTTGGTTATATATTCACCATGACGCTAGGGATATTCGCGCTGCCTTGGACGATGCCTTACGAGATGTTCCCGATCAAGGTGCGGGGTTTTATGTGTGGGGTGAGTTTCTGCTCAATGTACGCGTTGATCTTCGTGGCGGTCAAGCTCTATAATTTCCTCCTCGAGAATCTGCAGCTGCCTGGGATGATCCTCATGTTCGCGGTGGGGTCGCTGTTGTTCGGTGTGTTTTCGGCGACGGTGCTTGTTGAGACCCACAAGAAAACTTTGGACGAGATCGAGGAGGTGTTTCTGGGTCGACGGTCAAAGAAAATTCAGAAAACGACAAGCGATTCTTGAAGAATTTTATTACAACTTTTGTAATTTCTCCGGAGATTCTCTCTGGTTCCATCTTATTGGTGAACAAGCTAGTTTCGTCGATAGAGTTCCACTTGAACAACACTATTTTGTAATGGAGGTGAAATCGAACCAAGGTGATGTGATTGAGAAAATTTCAAATAACTAGAGTACCTTTCGGTTTACGCCATCATCATAATGTTTATGTTTCAAATTTTATCGAACCTCTGATGATGAAGTAAGTCGAAAGGTACTTTAGATATTGAAACATGTTTTAACCACAAGACCTTCGCTCGTTATTTTCAACCTCCATAACCTAGGTTTGGTCAAATTTATGAAATTTGATATAGTCATTGGTGACGTAAAACTCCAATGGACCCATCTCGTGAGCCGACAAAGTTGGCCTAGTTATCAGCGGATATGACTGTGGGTCAATATATTTGCCGGGTCTGAATTTCGGTGGCTGAGGAAGGAGGAAAGTTTGCACTTCTGAACTAAAAAGACTGTAGATGGACCCGGATACTTTCTACCTGTTTCTAAACTGTTCACAATTCTTCGGGGAAGGGCCCGAGTTGTACAATGCTGCGGTACGCGGCGGCACGACGTACGTGGTATTTAAATTAACTCCGAAATACTTATTTTGAGTTCTACGTTTTTAGGTGACTTTCAAAATTTTTTTGACTAAAATATTTTGGAAGCAGATAAAATGTCTCTACCGCAGAGTATTTCTGAAACTAATTCAAAACCACCAAAAATCAATATACGATGTTGCGGACTTTCATCGTCGATATGCCTATTGCCTATACCTTGATGTCTAGGGGCAACGAATAGAAACTGAAGTTGACTGTACACCGATAAAAATAATATGCTGTTTCAGCACCTAGAATGTTAAAAATGTGTCTGGTGATCTCAAGATGCTGCCTTAACTGCCTACAGAATTAAATTTGCATTCACAGGATGTAAAGTTAACTGCGAGGGCAGTAAGGACAACAACTCCGGATCACCAGACACAATTTTAACATCCTAGGTGCTAAAACAGCATATTATTTTTTTCAGTGTAGGTTCCTCATGAAAAAGCCATTAAAACCGCAGAAGAAAATACTTCGTGTTACGGATTAAAAATAATTCATAAGAAACTTGGAAAGTTGTGATTTAAAGTTATCAACGAGGTTTGAAAGTTATACGAATTACGCAAATAAGAGGTTAGGATGTAAAAGATAGTCAAAACCTCGAAATCAAATTCGCTCTTTTGCAACTCGTAGTAAAGAAGGAAAGACATCCTAATAAAAAGGACGTACTCTTGCAGTATTTTAAGTCTTTTTTACGTTTTTAATTATAAATGTGGTTTTCAGTATTTGACTCATAAATACAATTTTACGAAGTTCAATTAAAAGCTTCCACCCAAGGATTTAACCCTGGTTATTTTTACTCATATCGAGCTAAGAAACTTGGCACATTAGTCCACAAGCCTTAAAAATATGTTTGTAAATGTGTATGTAAATGCGTGTATATATTTTGTTCCTATGTGTAAAAAATACATTTCAATTCCTTAAAACTATCGATTCCTTTACTTACTTAGTGAGATATTCCTCATCCTTCTGGGCTGAATACGTCGCTCATCTAATGGATTCTCAGACATTTTATGCATCATTTTTTAAAACTCATAAATTCCTACTATTTCTCTGGATGAGATATTGTCACCAGATTCTCATAGGAGTATACATTTTCGAAATGGTTCAGTTCTCGACTCTTTTTTTTCCATTTTTATTTTTCATCTTTCATGTAGGAACAATATGATAGGGTATAATGGACACAAACAACAAAGCTAACAAAGTTAGACTCCTTAAACGATCTGTTTTATTTCGAAAACTAACGGTTGTAAATTGGGTCCATTGTATTATTAGTCCAAGGAAAAATCCTCTGGGCAGTAAATTCAATGACTTTTCGTCTTGAATCATGGCACCCTCATCTATGCCACGTCAAAATTTTTGAACCTGTTGATCCCGTATTTCGTTTTGGGTGCCTTCCTCTTGTGTTTGGTCCCCAGTGGCCTTCTCCGGTGACACAGGGATCTCCTCAGTTTTGGGAGGACTCTCGCCGGTTCCCTCGTTGCCGGCGGTGCGCTGGCGCCGCGACGCAGGGACAAAGACGTCGGGGACTTGGATTTCCGGTTCCGGTTGCTGAGGCGAGGACTCGACCGTAGGCGCGTTTCCGTTTCCGGCGATTTCCCGCGAACCGGAGCTCGTCGGCTGCGTCCCCGGTCGAGAGACCGGTTTCCGCCGGTTCGGTCTCCGAGCCCGGTTTTGGTTTTTCTTCGCCTGAAACCAAAACATTCTGTTAAACTTGGTCCAAATAATCTGAATTACCACAAAACGTATTTCCCCGGATGAAATTCTAAGGTTACAAAATTGACTCAGACAATGGGCCAGTTGCGCTGGTTACGAATTGGAGAATTTGCTTGAAAATATTTTATTGCTTCATCTGAAAGTGCTGAAAGAGCTGATTTCTCAGTTTGTTTTATAGTTTTTTCTGATATGGGAAATAGTATAAAAATAGATTTAAAAGTGAGAAAATGCGCCGCCTAGTAACGTCATGACGGCATTTCCCATTTAAACACACGTATTTTGGTAGATTAAATCATTTTGTCATATCAAGATTTATTTTCTCACAGAAAAATGGTTGGTTTAATCTGTTTGAAAATTTCACTGAATTTTTAGCAGCACAAAGACAATTCAGTGAAAGTTACGAAAAGTGTCGTGGAACAAATCCTTTGTAAAAAATAAAATGGCGCATATTGGATTGAGGCAATTACAGGGGTCGGACAAGAAATGCCTTACTAAAACTGCAGATTTTGATGTTTATTTCGTCACATTTTTAATTTCACGAGGAAACCAATGGAACAACTTTTAGAACCTCAAAATTTCGTATGAACGATGAAGCTTTCAAAGTTTTCAAATTTTGCCCAACCTCCCCTATTGACCCGATCCATTGCGTGGCGGCGGAAATTTTGAAACGTCGCATGGCGTTTATGATACTTAAGGAGCCCGGAAGGTGACGAAATGACGATGTAAAATCCCACTATTATCCAATCTGTTCTCCAAGACCGATATCATCAATTTCGAGAAGAGTTACCTAACCCCGCGACAAAGCGGCGTTTATCTGGGATCCAGATTCGGATGCAATCAGTGGCGTGGCGTGCTTTGCGATACATCGATCGATCTACAATTTAAACCTATGGGAAAGGATCGATTAATAGAGCGTTCGCAACGAACACCTCAATAATCGATTCTTTACCACAGCTTTAAATGGGGAAATCTCGATAATCGATCATTTACGCCTCGCCACTGCCAACGACGATAAATACGTCACCGAGATAATTCTTACTTGAGCCCCGGAGAGCATGATGTCTTGCGTACGGCAGGGCTCATCTCAAACATTTAGGTGTGTTTTTATTTGAGGGAAGTGACGAATTGTCTACTATTGTAAACTATCGAGATTTCCCCATATCGTCACCTTCCGGGCAAACTATCACAAGCGCCATGCGATGTTTGAAAATTTCCTCCGTCATTTTATTTTTTTACAGAGAAATTATTCAACGGATTTGTCTGAAAATGTTATTGAATTTTCTTTGTGCTGCCAATAGAATTCAGTGAAATTTTCAAACAGATTCAACCAAGAATTTCTCTGTAAAAAAATAAAATGGCATGGGACATTTTCAAACGTCGCATGGCGCTTGTGATACTTTGCCTGGAAGGTGACGATATCTCGATAGTCGATCATTCACGCGACGCCACTGCGGGGCGATTATTGAAATGACATCGACTCTATGTCGCCGCTTACGACAAGACATAGCCCTATCTTAACCGTGCAATATGTCGCAATTCGATGTCTTATCGGGCTGGTTTAAATTTCAATAATCGGCCCGCTGGATGGAACTTACGCTGTCGATGATGCGGCTGATGGAAAAGAGCTCGACGGGGACCTCGGAGACCCAGCGGTCGGCGGGGGGCGCGGGGGCGCCGTCGCGGGAGGGGCGCGGCCCCCCGGGGGCGTAGAGGTGGTGCCCGAAGTTGCTGAGCGTGCTGTTCCCGGCCGAGCCGCACAGCTCCATCGCCGCGATCTGCGTCGTCCGCACGTGGTACGGGAAGTTCTTGTTCGCGTTGTACGGGAGCGTCACCACCTGGACACACAAAATATACTGATTTAGTGGGTACGATATTTGATGAACAGGCTGATTTAGTGACCACGTCATTCGATATGACATCGAATTCTTGGTTCAAACCGAAAAAAACTAACATAACCTCATGTAAGAATTCTTCAGGAGCAGAGACAAGAGACCCTCCACTGGCCTCCTAGTGACAGGTGGAAGATTTTACTTTCGGGGTTTCAACAATTCCTTACGGACAATTACTAGGGAGCTAACAGTCATCATCCTAATTTCGGCTGTTGACTTACCTACATGGTCGATGATGAGCTTCGGATGACATGAGCCAAACAAGTTTCCCAAACGTCAGCCATTTTCGGCTTGTTTGCAAAAAGAGACTGCCAACACGTTGTTGAACATCAACCACGTAGGTAAGTCAACAGTAGAATGCTGAAGTCCTGAAAGTAAAAGCTTCCACAATGGCCAAGATACTAGTGGAGGGTCTCTTGTCTCTGTTCAGGAGACCCTCCACTCGTGGAAGTTGCCGAGTTGGCTCCCGTCCATTTTTAGGTGGGTCGAGTTGGCTCCCGTTTGAAAAAGGGGGTCCCCTCCCCTATGGGTCGAGTTGGCTCCCGTTTGAAAATTGGTCTTTTTTTGGTGGGTTGAGTTAGCGTGCGTTTATTTACGCTTAACGAGAGGTGCGCGTTCTTCACTTCATTGAGGGGGAAGATAACAGACTCGATGCCGCACTANTTGTATGTATTTTAGATTTTTTAAATTTTTAAATTGTGTGAGAAACAAACATGGATGAAATTTTAAGTGAAATGTTAAGTGAAAAAGGGCAAAAATTAATTATATTAAGAAACTTCAAATTCAGTTTTCATAAGAAATTAGCACACGCCACTCATTTCAAACGGGAGCCAACTCGACCCTTAGGGGAGGGGACCCTTTTTCTAACGGGAGCCAACTCGACCCTTAGGGGAGGGGACCCTTTTTCAAACGGGAGCCGATTCGGACGTTTGGGAGCCAACTCGGGTACGTCCCCACTCGTATCTCGGCTATTGTGGAAGCTTTTACTTTCGGGATATCAACATTAAACTGTTGACTTACCTACATAGTTGATGTTTAACAACGTGTTGGCAGTTTTGTTTTGCAAACTAGCCAAAACTAGAGTACCTATATTAAGAGAGTATGGCCACTGGGTCCCATGGAGAGGCTTAGGACCCAAAAATGGCGGTGCTTTGTTTTGGTTTTTGAGGATGGGAGGGGGGTCATTGCCAACTTTTGACGGTTATCACCAACCGCACTTGCTGCCAACCTTACTACATCTAAGATCATTTTCCTCAAAAATTGCACACGATTAGCCTTAAAAATATGTAAAAAAGTCGCAATAGTGCATTTGGGTAAAGTTCTCGTTACGATAAGCAAAGACAACTACATTTTGAATCATTTTGCATTACATTAACTTTATGGCATCCGCCATTTTTGGGTCCTAAGGGCTCCATTCAGCCTAAGATGGCTGAGCCAATCAGAGGTGGTAACTCCAGTGGCCATACTCTCTCAATATAGGTACTCTAGCCAAAACAAGCCGTAGTTTGGGAAACTTGTTTGGCTCATGACGTCACCCGAAGCTCATCATCATCCATGTAGGTAGGTCAACAGCCGAAAAAACAGTGATGACTGTTGCTACCTTATGATTGTCCACAAGGAAGTGTTGAATTCCTGAAAGTAAAAGCTTCCACCTGTACACGGAGAAAAAACTTTGTGCATGTGACCCAAAGTTGAGGTCATATGGATCTCTGAAGTTTTCTGATCACGCATCCGAAAACTTGAGGTCGAGCTGCCGAAGTTCGGGTCAGACATCGAGGCACTTCTGTATGCACCGGAGTACTTCAAATGTGTGAACCGAACCCTTCGGTGTATATCGAAGTACCTAAGATGTCTGACCCGCACTTCGACACCTGAACCTCAAGTTTTTTGATACGCGATTCGAAAACTTCAGATATCCATATGACCTAAATTTTGGGTCCCAAGCACGAAGTTTTTTTCTCCGTGTATAATAGGCTGATTTAGTGATTAAATTATTCGATTTAACATCGAATTCTTGGTTCAAACCAAAACAAATTAATAAAACCTCAAGTAGGAATTCTTCATGAGTTAATTGTATCCATTTATTAAAAATTAATCAATAACCGGTCATAAATCAATGAAATACTCTTTAAAGACGAGAAATTTCTATTGTAAGTAACACTTAGCTGTAAAGCGACTTATATGTAAGTAACACTTAGACGTATTTTACCACCATGCGTTAAGGGCGAGAATCAGAGACAACGCTCTGTGGTTCTATGTTTGTTTAATTTTACACCAAGTTACACTTAGTTCAAATGTAATCAAACCCAGAACTTTGTTTCTGATTCGTGCCCTTTGTGTCATGTTTTACAAAAAACACATTATATTTTCCAGTAGTACATATTTCTTTTTCATCAGTTTAAAATGGAATAATCAATGCAGAAGTGCAAACATTTCAAAATCATGAGTTGAAAAACGCTGACTCCGCGAGTTTAAATATTAGAGCCTAACACAGAGCGGAGCGGCGTGTTAGCAGCGCAGAACGCGCACTGGCGCCTACAAACCTAACGGGATACTTCACGCATTGCGCAGCGCGTGAAGTATCCCGTTAGGTTTGTAGGCGCCTATGCGCGTGTCACGCTGGTTGCCTGCCGCGCCGCAACGCTTTAAGCAACTATTTCGCGTCAGAGGCGTTGCACAGTATCCTACAAGATTGAAGGCGCACGAAATAACTAGTCAAAGAGGACTTTCAATTTTGACTGCATCTGTTACTGAAAAATGTTTAATTTGGCATTAGAGCGTTTCCTAGGCTCCCGCTTTTTTGATTTTCATCTTATTATATCCGTACACTGTAAACATAAACATATGTTTTTATCTGCTCTTAGAGTCTGTCTTTCATGCGATGAACCCAATGTAACTATCAAAACTCTGAAACTCTTCACCTCTCTGAAATTGAAAATTTAAATTTTCGTATATACTCCCATTTTCAAATTTCTATGTAAAGACGTTAATAGCCTGTGACGCTCAATGTCTCAAAATATCCAAACTAACTAACTAACTCTTTCTTGACTTGATTCATGAATGAAATGTTTTTAAGAATGAAGGTAGTAGTAGTATGCATTTATTTTTAAGGTGGCCCCTGTCCCCTGTCATTTATAAATGAGGAGAAAAAAATGTGGACATAACATGTCCACAATTTGGACAATTTTGGACATATTCATGGTTGGACATTAAATCATGTGGACTTAATACGGACTGGACTTAACGTTTGGTGGACATAAATAGCGGTGGACATTTATTTAATGGACGAAAGGTAGGTGGACATAAAGTCCTGGAAGCCTTTTCCATAGGTTGAAATGGCAGATCAATCGATCTATTTCAAAATACGGCACGCCACCGCAGTCAACAAACTCTTCAGGACGTCGAGCACTAACTTGCTCCTTCACCCACATTACGTTTGTGACGTCACCATTGAGGCGAGATAATTATCATTTTTTGAGGTTGCGATCCTCGGGAATTTCGTTAATATTCGCAAACTCGCAGAGACAATCGCGTTCCATCCGTCAATGCTAACGAGTTTCGTGTGTTCTCTTATTGGGATGGTCGCGAATCACATGGCGCCAAGTCCAACGACCAGTGGCGTGGCGTGCTTCGCGATATATCGATTGATGTGCCATTTAAACCTATGCGAAAGGATCGATTATTAAGGTGTTCGCAGCGACCACCTTAATAATCGATTCTTTACCATAGCCTCAAATGGAGAACAATCGATAATCGATCATTCTCGCCTCGCCACTGCCAAACGCCGGTAAAAACGTCACCGAGCAGATCTTTACTTGAGCCCTGGAGAGCATGATGTCTTGCGGATGGCAGGGCTCATCCCAAAAATTTAAATGTGTTTTTTTGCGAGGGTTTTGCGAGTAACGAATTGTCTCGCCGGATGAGGCGTGGGTACATGGGTTCGCTGTTTTTGTTTTTTCCCCTCTTTTCTTCTTGAAAATATTCTGCCACGCTAAGGAAAAACGACGTATGAGCCATCAGGCTTTGCTAAATTTCCTCCAAAAACACTTAAATGTTTCAAGAAAATTTGTGAATATCTCTGTTTTGATTTTTCGGAGGATTTCGTTCCAAAATTGATCTAGAAAGTTTGAAAATTTTAAGGAAAGTTATTCCTAAATTTCTTCAAACGTAAATATTTTCTAGGAGGAAATTTGGCAACATTCGAATTCCCGCACGCCGTTTTGCCTTAGCACAGCAGTATTGGTAAAACACTGAATATTCAAACCCTCGTCTTGCTTTATCTCGTGCAGGTGGATTTTCGAAAAGAGGGCTTTAACGGTGCCAGACTGAATGCGGGATGCTGCTCAAAGACTCGCTTGAGATGGAAAGTGTCTAACGCAGCTAAATTTTGAACGTCAAATTATTGAATTAGAGGTTAAAAGCGGCAACTTTCCAAGAATGAACTTCCGATCGGCCAGATGTTGAGCGTTGCCCCAAGAATGCGACGTGACACGCTAACTAACCGAATTCAACGTACAACTAAACCTCCAATCACGTTCGGCAAAAATACGGCACTGGGAATTAATGGGTACGCTTTTTTGTCTCGGTTTTTTCTTCAATTTTTTGTTTAATTTTTTTCCTGTTTCATTCATGCTTTGCTCTTTCTGATGGTATAGGTTGATAAGAAAATTTGCTCTCTTTTTCATTTGTTTGAAATTGTCTATTTTATTTATTTATCTTTTTTACATCTTTTTTCTTTTTTTTAAAAAAAAAAATTCATGCTCTTGAACATAATTTTTACAGACAGCTTACGATGCATAAAAACGTGAGTGAAACTGGGAGGACTTGGCAATTTTACCTTTATTTTGAATAATAAAACTATTGGATGAATATGCTGATAATTTCCTCAACTTTCACTCCTTCAAAATAAGGTGTATCCTAGAAGATTTAGTTCAAATGACACCCTTGTTAATTAACTTTTAAAAATAATTTAAAAAGAAAAACCCGAGAATTTCCGGAATGTAAGATAAAGTTTTCAAGAGGTGAAAGCCAGGCGCAGTGCTTTATAACATCATAATTAATAAAATATTAGAACATAATAAAAAAATTTTCATTTTACTGCACAGTAAGATGGAAAAATCTGGGGGAGTGGTAATGGCAGGAAGGAATTTTATACTTAGAATATTTTTAACGATTTCACTTCCATTCCATGTTAGTACTTTCAGTAAGACCACAACTTTCACATCGATGTATGGATAGATGAAATTTTTGTATGAATATCTCTAAGCCCCTCTCCGTGAAAATAGTGTGAGATATCCTTGAAACAAAAACTTACCAGGAATAGAATATGGCCGGCCAGGGTTATGACATGGCTGACGGCAAAGAATACACTTTCTCTAACCCACTTGTCGATGAGGCTATTCGAAATCAATACAAATGCGGGCCCTGAGACAAACCTGCAAATGTTTCGCAACAATTAGTGTTTTTTCTACTAATAAATTCGTCGTTTCCCGGACAAAGGGACGTACCATAATTCCAAGGTTGCCAAAATAACTTAAACACTTCTATGTTTCACAAGAATGTACCTGAGTCATTTTTGTTCCGAATTTCTCTGATTTTTGCTTGATAACAGAAGAAAAATCAGTAAAAATTTCAGTTGGTAATTCCCAAGATTCTTCTGTTAAAATTGCAATTTGCAAGTGTAAATTTGATAACATTGAAATGTAGTTACGTTCTTCCGTAGGGGGAACGATAAATTAAATCATCTTCATTCTAAACTCACATTCATCACCAAGTCCAGGAAATATGACGAGTATTTCGTGAGTATAATTCAATCTTACACCCTTGTATACGTGAACACACAGTTCGGAATACGTTTCTGCGGATATTATTATAATCATCTAGGGCAAGAGAGGAATCTCAGAAGGCATTACTTGCATATCTCTAAACACATTGAAAATGTGCGATAAAAGAAGAGGGTGGGTCAAAGATTTAGAAAAATCAGATTGGGTAGTGCTTGAAAGATCCCAAAAATGATACACTTCAATGATGGGAATTGAATGATGAAAATTCAACATTTTCACAAACTATTGATGGATTTTTATCTGAGTTTGGAAGCGAAAGGCTGGAAATCATATATCGACGGTGAAACTACCAAACCACGTATCTCGTTTGCGGTGTTTAAAAATCTACGCTCGCATTTTATTTTTTTGAAGTAGACCAAATCAATATCATACCTTGAAATTTTCACAGAACTTTCTCCGCACGAAGACGAAAAATCACAGAAATTTTTAAGACTGGACGTTAAGTAGTTTTTTATTTAAAAAATAAAGTATGACTGCGAGCACTGCGAGCGACTGCAAAGGCTGCGAGCACTTTAAGTACTTGGGAGTGCGGTTGACCCAGGATGGAAGGACGGATCAAGCTATCAGGGAAAGGAACACCTTAGCAAGGAAGGCTATAGCGATGTTAAATGGAATCCTCTGGGATCAGCGGATTTCCAAAGATAACAAGAGGAGGATATACAACGCTGTAGTCAAAAGTATATTAACATACGGATGTGAAGTTTGGCAGCTGAAGAAACGGACACAGGATATGCTAAGAGCAACGGAGATGGATTTCTGGAGAAGGTCAGCAGGAATTTCTAGGAGAGATCGGGTCCGTAATGATAGAGTGCGTCAGATAATGGAAGTCGAAAATGACATCGTGTTCGACGTCATGACCAAACAACTTGTTTGGTATGGTCATGTCAATAGGATGACGGAAGAGAGGCTGCCAAAAAAGATGCTTGATTGGGTTCCTCCTGGGAGGAGACGTAGGGGACGCCCAGTGAGAGGTTGGCGACAGGGGGTGTTAAATGAGACAAGAGATTGTCAACTCCCTGATGACCTGTGGGAAGACCGAGCTTTGTGGCGATTAGGCATCGCACAGCGCCAAAGAGCGCTATAAAAGCGACTCATATATATATATAAGTATGACAGGAAGTCTGCGACGTCGCAAACCGAGATACGTGGTTTGGTAGTTTCACCGTCGATATGCTGAGAATCTCAACATCAGTGGCGTGGCATGCTTTGCGATATATCGGTTGATCTGTCATTTAAACCTATGGAAAATGATCGATAAGCAGGTTGTCCGTAGCGAGCACCTTAATAATAGATTCTTTACCTGAGCTTTAAATGGCATATAATGCGATACATCGCAAATCACGCCACGCCACTGCTCCACATGTATCATCTCTGAACTCACATTAATCCAGGATATGGGAATCCTAATCAAGTGATTGCCTTGAAATATTTCAAAATTTAAAACTACATGGAAAAACACTTACCATAATGATCCAATCACCTTAAAAGTGTAATAAAATTCTGATTTTTCCGGATAATGCCTCAGCGTAAAAATCGTGGAATACAAAAAGATCCACCAAGCAATGAGTCTTAATGCAATCAATCCATAACCGGCTGGACTCTCGTAAAGGTACAAAACTTCTCCCGGGTCAAATAACTAGCAGAAAACATGAGAATCGCACTTAGTTGAAATTTCAAATAGTTATTGAGTTTGAATATTATAGGATACTTTGTATAATTTTTAGGATGTGATTTATGGTTCTATACGAAGTGACCAGAAAAAGAATGTATAGCTCTTTGGTTGGTAATTTTTTTTTTTTTTAAAAGGTGCATAAAATTAACAAAACAATTAATTGATATTAGGTATGTTCAGTTGTTTCCATTTTTTTGCTGTTATTTTTACCTTGGCACTATCAAGGACTATAAATCGAGAGAGAACCTTTGAGGAAACAAACTGTAGTTCTACCATATTATCGGTCTTTCATGTGCATTTTTAATAATAAGCAGCTATGACCAATAAGGGTGGATTTTCTCTACCATCAAGAGGTGGTCACCTTTCGGGTAATTTTAATCAGTTTTTTTAAAGTGAGCAATCAGTCTCATTAGAAAAGCGAGTAAACCAATAATTGTTTTACTCTTTCTTCTTAAATAACATTTTTTAATAAAAGTGAAAATGATTTGATGAATAATCTCATACTTACTTGTTTTTCATAAATAAATAATAACGTGTAAGTAAACACGTAAAGGCACATAAAAACGGTGATTTTAACGCTTGAAATAGTTCGAAGTTTTCCCCGAGTCACAGTATATCCTTTGGCGAGAAGCAATAAAAGCAATAAGTATATTGTTTCGCTAGCAGATTCAAATAACCTCCCTGGAAAATTACAAACGATATTCAAAAAATCAATTCAATGAGGATCTTAAAGTCCCTAGAAGAAGAACCCTAGAGGTGCTACTTTGGAGTACGACTGGATAGCTTTTTGTTAACCAAGAAAATCCATTCCAAATATGGTTAAAAATGTAAGAATATTTCATACAATCATTTAATTGAAACGCTTCTATGTATAAAGTGCGAAAGCACGTACGTATCTTCATTGTGATGCTTAAAAATGTCCGCTCCTGTTTCATTTTTTCGAAGAAAACTAAGTCAACTTATTTAACTTTAGTTTAAAATTTTTCAGAATATTTTGCTGACCGAAATGAAAAATCAAGGAAGTTTCCATGAAATTACGATGAATATAGTTTTCCAAAGAAAAAATGAACAGTGACGTGGAGTGCTTTGCGATATATCGATTGTTATGCCACTTAAACCTATGATAAAGAATCGATTATTTAGGTGTCCACTGCGAACACCCTGTTAATCGATTCTTTTCCATAGGTTTGAATGGCATAACAATCGATTTATTGTAAAGCACGCTACGTCACTGAAAATGAAGTATGCCAGGAAGTCTGATACGTCGCAAACGCAGATGCGTGGTTCCACACTTTCGCCATCAATTTGGAGTCTTGTAAGTCAAAAAACATACTCAAAGTGAAATTTAAAATGAAAAAAGTAGGTCACATTTTACTTTTTAATCATTGGAGCAACAATTTTCCCTCATATAATTAACAATGAGTGTATAATATTCAATTAAGACTTTGCCAATGGGCAATATTTTATTTCGTCTTTGCTGGCTCCTTGCAGCTGTATCTTTTCGGAAGTTCATTTTTGCAGAAAATATACTTACACACGAGTGATTTTTATTAAGATCGTAGCCCGAATGAGATAGAATTGGACGTATTTATGCTAAAAGGAATTATGGTACACGCAAACTCTATGCACAAAGTTCCTTTTAGCACAAATATGTCCAATTATAGATCCGACATTCAAATACCTCGGGGTCAATCAATGTTCATGTCGTGTGAGACAGCGCTGTGAACTTACCTAAATTCTTAACACGAGGTAATCCAGTCCCATTGAGGGCAAAATTGAGCAACGCATAGCCCTGAAATAAAATTCCTATCTCTTGAGTTATAACAGAATAATTAAACAATTTGTACGTCGAATGCAGTAATTGCCTAGACTTTAATTCATCTGAAATCAACAAGAGAAGACAAATTACACAAAATCTGTATTTCTAAGAGAAAAGATTAAATATTGGAATATTTTTGCATCATAATAGAATTTTCCCCCCTTATTTACGGCAAAACCAGCATTCGGTGCTAGTTTTGATGACGAGAACGAAATTTTGATTTGTATCCCTTATAAAAAATGCATACTCTTTCTCTCTCTCTCTCAGAAGTTCTAGTTGGTATATATGTGCCCGAAATAAGGAGTGATTCAGGTAAGCGAATTCTTTGTTGTCAGAATTCAGGAATAAGTTGTCGTATTTCAGACCGAGGACCGCAGTTTTATTTCAACGCTGCTTAATTTCTTCACGCAAATTTGAATTTTACTGAAGGAATTTCAGACTGAAAATCCCGCTGAGTTCTTTTCTACGTGCATGCAAAAATCAGGAAAACTTTGAACAGCTGTAGGAAAGTCATATTCTTGTAATAAAATTAATTCTTGAGGTGATTTTGCAGCCTTGGAATGAAGATACGTCCTTTATCTTGAAAGCGACGAATTATCTGTGCTCATCGCCTTTTCATGGTGACTATAAATTGGACTGCATTTTGCAATTTGGAGCTATAAATTCTGGCTCATCTGAAAAAACACTTTTGTGTATAGGGAATCTAATGGCACATACGTTGTTTTTAAACTGGACCGGAATTTATAGTTCCTATTTGCAAAATGCTGTCCAATTGTGGAGCGCATGTTTTTTACCGAGGAAAAATGTGTGCGAATATTTTGAGATTAATCAGTTTAGAGAATACTAAGATTATTCCGAGATACGCAGCTTAGAAATTTCACTGTCGGAGATTCAAAAACAAAAGAGGAAAAATGTCACTCATTTTGAAGTGAGATTTGAGGAACTACTATTTTTGGCTCATCCCTTAAAGCACCTATCTACATAGAGAAACAAAGACACAAACGTCATTCCTAAAATGAGCCGGAAATGGTAGTTCCTTATTGCAATATTAATTCACATTTTAAAAGTGCTTACTTGAACATACGAACACAGCGACTACGACAAATGCATAAACAATTGCATATGCTATCACAGTAGGGAAAATATCTGAAAAAAAGCAAAAAATTATAAATAAATCGGATTCAAAACTGGACAGGAAATTGCCACTTGCGTGGGTAATTAGGACATCATTAAGCGAATGTGACTCATAGAAACTGACCGAAAAACCGCGTACCTTCACCTGCATGGTGAATCGCGCTTATGAGGTTACTAGAAACTGTTCTGTAAATAGACTCATGGGCCGCATTCGCCTAATGGCAACTATTTAATTAATATCGGGCTTTGACGAACGGAAGAGGACTCAATCCAGTATCATTAGTCTCACATTGAGTCTCTGCATTGGATGCGGCTCAAGTCACATTATGAGTCTTTCAACTAAGATTAATTTCAATACGGCTATTATTAAGAATTTCGTTTCTCTTTCCGTTTTGGTATTTTGAAAATCAGCGCTTCTATGCGCTTAGAGCCAACTATAATCAGTAGCTTGCGTATTTTATACTTTAGAATTTAGAATGCGGCGAAGTCGCCAGCTCACTTTCGCCAAACTTGTAAGATAAGCGGTTATTGTCCCTTAATCGTCGAAAGCCTATTTTCAACCAAATGATTTGTTTTATTAGCAATTAAATAAATACTAAACTTCAGTGAGTAATTGAACGTATGCAGATGTCTGCGTATGCGTTTAAAATTTTACTTTTTAGGATATTTTAATAATTAACTGATTCCTGAGGTTTCAACTTTTTAAAAATGAATAGTGCAATTGACTCGATGAATTTCAATGAAACTAGGGTATAGAGGTCTTACACTATTTGAATGGCTGCATTGAGATAACTTACAAAATTCGTCAGCAGAAAAATGCTCATGGAAGAGATCATCGGGAGGTCCATTTGTCATTAGGAACTTATACCGAACATTGAGACCCTGTCAAAAATCGTTAATAAAACTTTAAGTCAAAGTAATGAACCAAGAATAGAGTTCATTCCTCAATTTTGCACGTTTGAAATATTTTAAGAACTAACGCATATGCCATTTAAAATTACTATTCACACGTACAATATGAGGCATTCAAAGTGCACTGACGAAGGAGAGACACGATTTATTGCTTCATTCTTCTGTATCTATTCAAACCGTCGAAAGGAAATTAAAGTTCATGCAGTCGGCATCATTACGAATTGAACCCAGATGGAACTTAATTCCTCAAGAAAAAAGTCCGCTATCGCGGCCTAAACGATCGGTCACCTGAACCAAAAGTTTGGGTTGACAATCCTAATAGTATGCGGGATGTGAAATAATAGGAATGTATTAGTTTCGTTTGATCAAAATGCCTTTTATCATTTAAATAATTAATAGTTTGATGTTTCTTGCCGTGTTGGGTGATTTTGATTTGATATTTGGATACCTCATGCTATCCGCAAAAAATTAACGCTGGCTTCTAATTCCAGAAGCAGACGAATTTTCAAAATGCGACGTTTTGACGCGTATCTAGGGCCGGATCAGTGGCGTGGCGTGCTTTGCGATATATCGATTGATCTGTCATTTAAACCTATGGAAAAGGATCGATTGACAGGGTGTTCGCAGCGAACACCTCGATAATCGATTCTTTACCACGGATTCAAATGGGGAAATATCGATCATCGATCATTCACGCCACGCCACTGGGCCGGATTTTCCTACTTGCCACCCATAGGCCGCCTGTATTTTGTCGCCCCTTCTCATTTGTTTTGAAACATCGATACAAACCATCAAGTGAACGTGCCGGAGGAGGAGGGGAGGGGTGCATGAGACGCGTTTACTCGCGTTGGGCTCCTTTTTTGTTAAAACTTCATCAACACTAGCAAAAGTTCACGGAACTTCGGTAAACCTATCTCTGTGTGGACGAGGCCTTTCATTTATAAGAAAAGAACGAAAAAATTATGAAAGAATAAACATGAATGTGGTTTAATGATTTTAATTTCTGCCACCGCGCCAATCGCACCGTCTTTGGCGCAATGCGTGATGTATCCCTACAGTCGTGTAGGCGCTATGCGTTTCACGCCGACCGCTGCTGACCGCAATGTTTTTGACGCAATGTGGGAAGTATTCATGCAGTCTTGTAGGCGCTATGCGTTTCACGCCGACCGCTGCTGACCGCATTGTTTTTGACGCAATGCTGGAAGTATTCATGGAGTCTTGTGGGCGCTAATATGTGTTTAATGCTGACCGGCGCGCCGAGGGCTTCCTTTCCATCTCAAGTCCTCGTTATCATTGCTCTCTGCGCCGCGCCGCTCCAGGCCAATACAAATTGCGTGTTTGGTTTCTCTCTCAAATAGACTAATGAAAGGCGCTTTCTTTTGTATCACCGAAGGACGAATGAATTAGAAATTACTGTACTTTAACTCTCAAGAAATGCGAGATTTTTTCGCCTTTTCTCGATTATAATTTTTTTCTGAAGCGGATTCTTTTCTTGATACCTACATTTGAAGAAATTACAACATTTGCCGCCCCCTAAATTTGCCGCCATGGGCCGCGGCCCATGTGGCCACCCCCTAAATCCGGCTTTGCGCGTATCATTTCCGGGGCGAGAGAGAGACGATGATTTTAGCACATTACAGGCCATTGAACTTTTTAAAAATGGCCTTGTCCGGGATTTCAGCACCAAAAATACGTATTAAATCACCATATAATCTATTCCCCTTGTGCTTTCAGAAGTTTAAATAAAAAAACACAAGGTTCAGTGACCCACTGTGCCTACTCTGCCGCGTTAAGGATAAACGCAGTTTAAACATTCGAGATTTGCCAAATCTTCTCGTAAAATACATGTGTTTTTGACGAAATTTATGAATATTTTTCCTTGAAATTTTCAGATATTTTAGATAAAATTGTCAGCAAGATAGTCTGAAAAATTTGGAAAACAAAATTTACAATATCCCCGATAAAGTCGTATTTTATGAGAGGACATTTGGCAACGTTTTAAGGTACACACGGCGTTCTTCCTAAGTACGGCAGTACTTGGTGCATAAATAATCTAGGTCACTCTATTACGGAAATTTTGCACAAAGTTTTACTGAGAGGAGACTCAGTCCTCTGTCGTATTCTGCCGTGCTAAGAAAGAACGCCGTATGAACATTCGAGAGTTGCCAAATTTCCCCGAATAAAACATGTATTTTTGAGGAAATTTATGCATATTTTTCCTTTAAATTTTCAGGAACCTTGGGTAAAATTGTGAAAGAAATTATCTGAAAAATTGGAGGGAAAATATTCCCAAGTTTACCACGATATTCGTGTTTTACGAAAGGTAATTTTGCAACACCTGAAGGTTCATACGGCGTTCTTCCTAAGCACGGCAGTACATGGTGCATAAATAATCTAGGTCACTCTATTACGGGAATTTTGCACAAAATTTTACTGGGAGGAGACTCCGTCCTCTGTCGTATTCTGCCGTGCTAAGAAAGAACGCCGTATGAACATTCGAGAGTTGCCAAATTTCCCCGAATAAAACATGTATTTTTGAGGAAATTTATGCATATTTTTCCTTTAAATTTTCAGGAACCTTGGGTGAAACTGTGAAAAAAATTTTCTGAAAATTTGGAGGGAAATTATTCACAAGTTTACCAGGATATTCGTGTTTCATCAAAGGCAGTTTGGCAACGCCTGAAGGTTCATACGGCGTTCTTCCCAAGCACGGCAGTATTTGGTGCATAAATAATCTAGGTCACTATATTACGGGAATTTTGCACAAAATTTTACTGAGCGGAGACTCCGTCCTCTGTCGTATTCCGTATGGACATTCGAGAGTTGCCAAATTTCCCCAAATAAAACATGTATTTTTGAGGAAAGTTATGCATTTTTTTCCTTTAAATTTTCAGGAACCTTGGATGAAATTGTGAAAAAAATTATCTGAAAAATTGGAAGGAAAATATTCACAAGTTTACTAGCAGTGGCGTGGCGTGAATTGCGATGTATCGATTGTTATGCTATTTAATCCTATGGTAAAGAATCGATTATTAAGGCGTTCGCTGCGAACACCCTGTTTATCGATCCTTTTCCATACGTTTAAAATGGCATAACAATCGATATATCGCAAAGCACGCCACGCCACTGTTTACTAGGATATTCGTGTTTTATCAAATGCAATTTGGCAACGCCTGAAGGTTCATACGGCGTTCTTCCCAAGCACGGCAGTACTTGGTGCTTAAATAATCTAGGTCATTCTATTACGGGAATTTTGCACAAAGAACTCACCTTTGTTGAGTTACAGTTGCTGATCGCTATGAACCACCACCGGGGTCTGGCGCTCCTGAACCTTCTAGCGTTGTGACACGAGATCGAGTCATTTCTGGGGTAGTAATTACTGCACCCGGACCCGAAAAACGACTCCGTTAGATTCACAACTTGATTTTGCCCCAGGTTCAGCACTGCCTCGCGCTGCTCACATGTCTGAAACATACGATTTTTATCGTAATTTTAGGGCTCAGTAAACTAAAACTCGTTTTCAAAGTTTCCGCAGACTCGTTATGTAACGGAAAACGTAGTCTCTATTCATTAGCCGTAATTTTGTTTAATGGCCTGGTTACACGATCAAATTCCCGTCAAATTACGAACAAATGGTGATCATCTACCATCAAATTTCTGCGGCCTGCAAAAATTTGATGGTAGACGATGGAGCTGTGGGACTCATCCTTCATCTGATTTCCACACAATCGTGCTTATTTCATGCTTATTTCAATCAACACGCTGCTTTAATTAACTTTACTCATCAATCTAGATAACTCTTGACCGTCATCTTGGTCATCATTTTGATCGGAATTGGACGGGAATTTGATCGTGTAACCAGGCCATAACATTTTATGTACTCTCAGGTTAACCAAATAAAAAAGTCCTTCGTTGTAATTGCTCATGGTTGGGGCAAAATAATGCCCCGATGATGTATTTTAATTCACAATTATCATATATTTTTATAATTAGCTTGGCAGTAGTAAATAAAATGGTACGGAGCCAACAAAAGAAATAAACAGTAAACCTAAAAGTGTCATTCTTAATTTCTTGGATGCATATGCACAAGAAAAAATAAGTACTATTTAACTTTTTCTGCCAAACTTTCTCTTGCCCTGCCAAACCGTAGACTGAGGGAATAAGACAGAAAATGAGGAGATGCGATCTGCCGGAGGAGCTCTGGCATGGATCGCTATCAGTGGCGGTTGGGTGTCGCAGAGCGCACAGAAAGCGCTATAAGAGCGACTTGTTATAGTAGTAACTTTTTCTTTTTTAAAAATGTTTGAAAGGTATAATGAGAAAATGAGTTGAGAGACATTTTTGGAATTGATGAAATTTGTAGCAATTTTAATCAATGGCGTCTCAAAGTATACTTTGTGAAAAAAAAGAAAAAAAAAACTTCAAGTAATTTTCACGCCTCAAAATCCGTGTACGAAGTCTATTCGCATTATAAATGGTCGTGTGGATACTCAAGTTAGGACGCTTTCTTTTCAAAACTACATAAATTTTACTCAATACTTCTTACCCGTTATAGTTTCTATCTCTGTTGTGAGATTAGAAGAACTTCGGTCGCGTGAGAGCAATATAATCTGTGCTCACAACAAGGTATATCCGGAAAAATATAAACTTTATAATTGCAAGATGCAAGATTGCAGATGGAGCTTGCAACTAATAATACAGTAGAGTCTCGATTATCCGCGATCATTGGGACCTGAGATACCGCGGATAATCGAAAATCGCGGATAATCCGAATCTACTCGAGACGGCCGGAAAAAGTCATCGGAAAGACTGTATTTTAAAGAGATCAGTAAAGACACTTACCACGCATTAGAGAAGAATATAATTACTAACTAAGAATCAATAAACGTTACCTGTTAAACAAATTAAACTTTATTCCTTGAAGAATTTCTTGATGGATTTGAACCTTTTTTCGGCTGTCGTTGTTTCCATGCGTTTTAGAAGCAGTAACTCGGCTGCGGGGCGATTATTGAGACTGATGGACAAAGCGATAGACAAAGAAGACATAGGGAGTATGGAGCGATCCTATTGGTTGACATGGTTGGTTCTTGTAGACTAAGAAAAAAAATGATGGACCAATTGTCGGGTCTTTAGTGGGTTGCCGCTAGTTAGTCCATTATCTACCTCCTATGTCCATTGCCACCACCTGCTTCCACCAATAGGATCCCTCCAAATATCTTTTGTCGTCTTTGTCTTTAGCTTTGTCTATCAGATTCAATAATCGGCCCGTTGGTGTTGTTTCTCCCCCTTGCTCCATAGACCGCGGATAATCAAAATCGCGGATAACCGAGGCGCGGATGATCGAAACTCTACTGTACCTATTATTTTCAACTGTGCATGCAGTAGAGTCTAGTGACTAAATTGACAGTGAAGGTGAAACAAAAGTGAAAACGGAGAAAGATAGCTCGCAGTTTAAGGTTCAGCCGGACGCTCAACGTTCTGTCAGACATACTCTCGTGACCCAAACAATAACTTTCCAGTTGAAATTATCAACACTCTAGCGCAAGCCAACGTCACCGATTAAAAGTATCAGGTTAACAAAAGTTGCAAAGTAACCAAACTCTGCAAGCACGGGCATGCATATCCCACAATTGAGACAACAGCCAAAGCCTCACGCATTTTAGAATTTCGAAAACCATTCTACGGTATTTCAGCGAGGCATTTAGCACGTATTTATCTCGGAACGACTCTTTTCCAACCTTTGTTCTGTTAGTATAAAATACGACAGAACTTGGAAATCATCACATTCACTTTATTCACTTCATACGAGAACTAGCATTTCACAGCCTTCGAAAATGTTCAAAGTTTTGTCAGTTTTTGCTTTGGCAGCAGTCCTTGGTCTTGCGTACTCCAGTTGCTGTAAGAATAGCTACCTCTATTCCGGTCCATATACGCGTGGTGGCTACAACTACCGGTATGGCTATCCAAGCTCCACTTACAGTTACAGTGGCTACCCAGGCTCAACTTACAGTTACAGTGGCTACCCAGGCTACCCTGGCTATTCAGGCTATAGTTACACCAGTTACGGCTCCAATCCCTCCGGTTACAATTACTACTATTAATGAAATGGTATAGTTATGGTTAAAGTTTGAAGAGATCCCTGAGAGTGCATTTTTTTAGGTTTCCAATTTTTTCTCATTTTTCAACCAGAGGAATATTTGATATCTGCATAGAAGTGAGGACCAAACATATATCATCCCAAATTTTTCAGCTTTTTCGGTTTTTTCCCCTCTCTATGATTACTATTCATGTGATTAATACTAATTCACTCCATCAATGAGCTCTCTTTACATTGATGCAGGGTTTAACCGTCGCTGAATTCAGTTAACTATGCGTACTTCACTCTCCAGGATTATTAAGTTAACCTTCAAAGTGTATTTAAATATCGTATAGTCTTACTCGTAAATATTTTTCTAGAAATGTATGTGCTTTAGTACAAAAAGTACCGATTTTGTATTTGTTTTATCCAAAATAAACCTGTTTATTTCCAATTTACACATTTGTTAATTTTCTTTCAAATGTATGGTATCTTAGCAGATCCTTGCTTGTCTTCAAAGATATGACAGTGGATGCGGGTTTATTTGATCCCCTTAAGTGTCACGCGTTGTTGTGGGCGTTCCAGACTGTTTACACCAGTTGAAAACACCTTCAATTTCGCGTGATACTTCACTGCTCACGCCAGAGTTAAAATAGTTGTATCATTAATTGCCGTGTAGAATCCTCCGCTTTTCGAACATTAATGAAGTATATCGTTGACCAAAGTTTAAAACCTCGTATCTCCGTTGTGGCGTTTCAGACTTCAAGAGAAGTTGACGTAGTTTTTTGGTAACTTCCTTGATTTGCCCTTTCTGATGGCAGAATAGTCTAAATAAACAAGCTACTAAGTTTACTTGTCCCTCTTCTAAAATATAAAATAGGAGCGGAAATTTTTAAACATACCATAATGAAGATACGTGGTCTCGCCCTTTGGTCATAGAATTTGTCCCTCTTTGAATCGGAGAAACTTTTATGGAAACTGTTGGCATTATTAAGAACATCGATCAGACAAATAAAAAATTGATGTCTATCATTTCTCATAAAATGAAAGATTATGTAAATACAATGGCGTTCAGTTTATTTGTATAGTCAAACCTCGCTACTTTAGGTGTTTCCTTGGAAATGTATAAGAACATTCTGTGCGACATGCACACTGTACAGGCGCACAAAACATGTTTAAAAAATCCAAGAAATTAAGCGTAAAAAATTTCAAATCTAAACATACATTTTCTGCTTACGCCGGACATCCCAACAAAAAAAAATGAATTTCCTAAGTAAGTTCAAAGAGCCTGGTTCCACGCCTGAAAATTTGAAACAAAAAAATCACGATAACTCGCAAAATAGCTCCAAGAAAAAAAGTGGGACAGAGTGAATTAAAACCTCAATCTTCTAAAACGTGAATGAACTCTCGAAACCTGTGGTAATGTCACATCCGAGATGATTATGTCTAAGAGTGAAGAGGCATATTACATTTTTATCCACAGAGTATGATTTAAAAATATTACGGCAGCGGTGTGACATAAAAAATATGATGTTTTCATGCTCCCATAACTGATGAAAAATTTTCTAAAATAATTTCAAATAATCCAAGAAAGTAAAAATTTAGGAAATTTCGAATAGTGTGTCCTTTAAGCTGCGAAATGAACTTTATCTCTTTCACATTGAGTTTGGATGTAAATACCCTACGAGTGCTACAAGTAGCCTTCAAACCGCACTGATACTACAATCCTGACATAAATTAGAACAAATACTGAGAACGGATCTATCATATTCGTTGGCACGGTAGATTTGTTCATACATACGTTATGCGTTATGCCTGTTTAGAGTCGTCTTAAAATTTTAGGTTCTATTACAAGCAGTGCCCCGAATATAATTTACAACCACAAGTATTAAACCGAGGTATAGTATTAACAATCTTGACGTGACACGCGGTGATAATTTTAACTGATCAAATACACTGAGACTAGGTTTAAATTTTATTGAAGAGTTTTCCCCCTTTTCCGTGAGGTAAGTAAATCAAATCGAATGTTACAACTTAAATATTAAAGATCTGTCGGAGCAAAGTATTTTTAAATTTAAAACTTGCCGTTTTTCAGCACAGAAAAAAAAACTCGAGAAAAATAATAGTTGACTAAAATTTTGTGTATGTATTCTAAAAAATGAGGGATTAAATTAATGTTTCTTTAAGTAATCGTGTGATCACATGATATATAAGACAACAAATATTGGCTCATAAAATTATTGAAGGAGAACACTGAGTGAGTGTTTCTCAATCGAGGCTTGTGACTGGACTTATCGGTGATTGTTACTAAGTTTTAACGTGCCCGCCGAGGAAATCTGAAAAAGGCGATTGAACAAGTGTACATGCCATTACCTAAAAAAAAAAAAAC